ATATCTATAATTATTTATTTTTATTTTAAACTTTTTTACTAGGGTATTATACTATTTCAGTATACTAGATAACATAATAAAATTTTTATCATGACCCAATCAGAGTTCTTCGACGCCCCCGCCCCACTTTTTCACCCAGAGGCCGAAAAAGATAAAAATGCTAAAATAATTCGTTATTCCAATGAGAATTACTTGGTGGGTATCCCATCTCGTGATGAATTGGCTATGAGAAATGATGAGGGTTCGACTTCAATTCTCAAAGATGAGATAGCAAATCATCGAGATATTCCATTCATGCCAGTTGATATAGAAGAAGTTAAAGAATATATTAATAAAATCCCCCATTATATTCTTCGCCTCTATGGATACCTCGTTAATGGCCAGAAAGCAGTTGTCACTATTACTGGTATCAAGGTATTTTTCGATATCCGTGTTCCTGAAAATGCAAGTATCCCCAAATTCTGGTCCAAAATAAAAGGTATACTCGCTACTGGGAAAGACAACGAGGGAGGCACTGTAGACATGAATCTAATCCGAATGGAATGTATAAAGGCATATCCTATTCGTGGTTATCATGCGGAAAAAAAGCCATATCTCCGTATTGTTATACCCAATAAAGATCTAAGATTCACTGCTCTCGATATCATCTCAAGCTATAATTCAAAGGTTGATCCCGAATGTAAAATAGAGACAGCTTCAGACGATACAGGCACATATTATCGTAAAGTTGCAAGAGAGTATCGGATACCACTTTCTGGGTGGGGATTAATAAGTGATTATAGATATAATTTCAGTGTACCTTATTATGCGAAATCTCATCACTGTTCACATGCATTTTATGTTCACATTGATAAGTTTTGCCTCATAGACAATTTCGAACCACTTTACAAAATCTATCTATCTTCTCTCTTTACCCACGATCGAGCATTGGTGCTAACATGGGATATAGAAGCATATGATTCACGTGGATCAGGGAACTTCCCAGAAGCAAAAAATGACACGTCCCAAGTTTTTACGATCTGCATGACCCTACACTGGAAAGACGATCCGATTCCTCTAGAGAGAATATGTTTAGTCGATGTAGAAACAAAACCAGACCCACGCGGGATCACAATCATATGCGGGAATCAGACCAATCTCTTAAAGGCATTCGCTCTATGTTGGAAATCTTTTGCCCCAGACATCCAGCTCAGTTTTAACGATTCAGGATATGATTGGCCTTTCATTGTAGAAAAGGCCACCAAATTAAATGTTCTCAAGTGGATGGTTCAGCAAATGTCGGCAAACTCACATAAGAAAGCTGATGATAAATCCATCCTCACTTGGAATTATTTTGGTAGGAGAGGGGAACCTCTAACTAATGGTTTCTTCCAAAGAAACCAATGGGTAAAGAAAGCGGACAAGGGTCCTAAAAAAATATTAGGCCGAAATTCCATTAATATCAAAATCAATCCCACTTTGAACTTCGAATCATCCTTTCTTAAACTTCCCGGGTGCGTGCCGATCGATGTTCGCACAAGTTTTATGCAACTCCACCCCCGCTCTGAGAAAACATCACTCAAATTCTTCTTAGAAAAGTGTGGTCTCGATGGTAAAGCTGATATGCCTATGAGCAAATTATGGAAGTATTATTCAGAAGCAAGGGATGGGACT